ACAGACAGGGTCGTCCCAATATGCGTTTTTGCAATTTGCATATAGGCAAAAACGCATAAAAATTTGAGCTTGAGAAAGGTCAGTCCCAGACACAGTCAGGGGCGAAACGCGTCCTGTCTGGATTCCTTACCATCAGCTGGTGCTTGTCATTGCTGCCCATCAACAGTCATCCGGTTTCTTTCCAGTAATTCCTACATCAAACTTCCTCAGCGGATGGCGGGTCAAATAAAAACCGGTGATCTGATACAGTAGAGGAAGAACCAGCCTTACTGTAATCGTTGATTCAGTCCAATGATAGAATGGTACAAGCCGTAGGAGTCTAAAAACCATCACCACTCCTTTAGGCAGTGAATAGGAGGAAGCTGCTTTAATGTTTCAGCACCAGTCAATGTCCTACTACCTTTACAGTGCTTCACTCACAGAGTGTGCTATCTGTAAAGAACTGTAATACCCCTGGCTTTGATACACATACCATAATATAGTCTTTGCAGATCAAGGCACCATTTCGCTCCTTCACAATTAGTAGCATTTCCTCGAACAGGAACAGCTGTCGATTGGTTTTAGTACCGGCAAGTTTGAATGTTGCTTCCAAAAGCAGATCACCGTACTTCGATAAATCATCTCGCTCATCAACGCACCACTTGTGAAGCGCGTTCTGGAGTTCACGAACACGCTCTAGATGTTCAGCGCGTTTCTTCTCCTCATTAATTTTTTCCGCTTGCGCAGTCATGCACTGCAGTGCCTGCCGAACGACAGCACGATCACCGTCCGATAGGAGCTTTGCTTCCATTGAATTTTTCAGTATATTCTACAATGACCAACGTCTTCAACGCAAATCGAAACACAGAAAATTCACTCGGAAACGGTACTCATCGCAGAATCCCAGTTAATAGGCAAGCACATCAAAAATAAAATGTTAACTTGTGTATCTCTAGAAGTCTGTACTATGTTACGCGCATAAGAATTTGACTAGATATTCGTCGACTCAATAAGGAAATTGGAAGTAATGTGAAAGCATCTTAAACTTTTACTGAGGAGGCATCTAAAATAAAAAGTTGTTGTGCGCTAATACGTTTTCAAGGGTAGTTGTTATCAATAAACAGTTTGCTGATTCCAGGTCTAAGCCACAGGTTATTTACATGAAGAGACCAAAGCTGATTGTATGTGTGTATCATTCCACGCGCGTTAAGCAATATTCTAAAATTTCATGTTCCAGGTCTAAAACAGTACTAAAGTGTCTGCATGATCAACCAAATGCACTTTTCAGTTGTATTTGTAAGCAAGTCAAAACAGATTTCCAAAGAACTACCTCAAGAAAGAGATGATATTTAAGAACCCGCTGCACTGGCTTTAGCAGATAAGCACTTAAGGGTAGTGAATGGCCAAGGACATTTTGTCGAAGTCTCAAGATTCCGGCTATTTTCTCATTTTTCAACAATTTCGTCAACGTATTCACCATTCTGAAAACACAGTAAATAAAATTATATCACTAAAATCGCCGATAAATTTTATATTTAATAACATTTTCGCTGGGCGCATTATTTCTTGTTCAGAATTACCGGTGCTTATGAAGAAGGGAAAAAATAATCGAGCAAAAGAGCTGAGATATAGATAAATATATGTAACGGGGTCGGAATCTGTTTTCATAATCGAAATGGTACCAAAGGGTGGTTCGAAAGTGGCACTGCCAAAGAAAAGACGGTGACACTTATCACACTCCAGTAACGTCTTGAAAGCGCTAAAGCTTTGTGAAGTATTTCTGTCTGAAAACCGTTGAGCTGGTGATCCCTCTACGAAAGTCAGGATCACCAGCAGGCTGATTATTGAACGATATTGGTCAAATCACCTGGTAATATACCAACTTTACAGCTACGGAACCAGCCTATAAACTTCAGCTGATCAAAGTATCAAGTAATACTGTTTCCAAGATAAAAGCTAATTATTTTCCCGTTTTTTTTTTTTTGCGAATAAAACCACTGTTAATACGAAAAAAAAATTAAAGCGTTTTACTTTTTATTAAAAATTAAAACGTTGAACGAACATTTGATATTTGGTACAGTATGTAACATAATCGCCAAATCCGTCTACGTACTCCGCAAAACACTTTGCCATCTGTAACAAACGAAAACTTTCTCAGAAATGCAACTTTTCATACATTTTTATACAGTTTATGCAAAAACAGCGGTGCCACGTCTACACATGCATTTTCAGATCAGAAGCTGAAATTTTAGGGACTAGTCCAAAACGAAAGAAACATTCTATGCAACTCGAATTTCAATATGATTTTTAGGTTCCAACAAAGGTACAGCATCTTTTTAAGGATAAAAACCATGCTTCTATGGCCGCAAACGCCGATAGAATCAGAATTTCAGTAGGTCGGAAATTTTCTACAGTGTTTCTAAACAGGATCAAAGCATGATACAGAATGATAGGGATGACAAAGATAAACAGGGTCAAAGCATTGATCCTGTTTTGTAGACAGGATCAAAACACCCCCCACAGCTATTGATTAACTCCAAATAAAAGTGTATCGATTGAATTAAACACATTTTTCAAAATCCGAGGTTTAGCTGGGCAGTTCTGGATTTCAGACAAACAGAGGACTTCAAGGTTCAGAGGAGCAGGTTTAAACGATACCGAAAAATTTCCAGTGGAATAACTGTTAGTCCAAGACAAGTGAAATTTAACGATAAAACCCGAAAAAAAGCACCCTCTACCTCCTAAGCATTCGATGGTGTGCCTCAGTGTATACAACTACGTCTCAACACGGGGTGAGTCAGACCGCCCTAGTCGCAAATCATCATTAGCACACCGAACAAATGCTTGTGCGCCGTAGAGACCTGAACCCCTATGCTACAATCGCCACACACAGCACAGAACCATTCTGCCATCCACATCTTACTGCTCAATCGGTGAAAAAAATCCATATGAAGTTAGTAATAAAAAATGGCCAACGCACGGGCTGCCCGTGCGAAGATGCGTTTTTTGCAGAGTTCCCCACAGGTTTTTGTCGCTACCGGCATCGATTTTTTCGGCAGATGCTTCTAGCTGAAACAATTCCAGACTGGCCGCCAGAAATGTCAGTAAACATCCCCTCAAAATTCCAGTCTTCTAGCTTCTCAGGTTCTCGAGTAATTAACTTTACCTGGAAGGAACTTTTCACGAGCCTGTACGTAGGTACCACGCTTGCCCGCGGGCAGGGTTTGAACTCGTTAATACCCACTTAGACAGGGAACACCTTCTAAGATTTCAGTTCTGTAGCTTCTCAGAACCCCGAGTTATGAATTTGCGCGGGAAAAATTTTGGGGGGCCCGTACGCGGGGTACCACGCTTATCCGGGAGCTGGATTTGAGCTCATTAGCACCTGCCTGGGCGGGGAACATTACCCTAAAATTTCAGCCTCCTAGCTTCTCAGAACCCCGAGTTATGAATTTGCGCGGGAAAAATTTTG